AAATGCATATTGCAGTTAGTTTATATTAAGATATCATTAACTCATAACACAGGCACAAGATAGAGGTGAGTGGGTGCTGTCCTTTCAGCCAGCCTGATTTTCTGGAGCTTCATCACAGAAGCTGGAACTCAGCACCCCAGCACAAAGCAGCTGGCCCAGAAGGAATTCTCATATTTTCTCTCTCATTCCACCATTTCCAAACTTGAGACCAGCTTTAAAGATCATTATCAAGCACCTGCATTCTGCCAGGATAAGGATAGCATCCAAACACCACGTTAGGGTGAGCATGAGTCAGGTTAAAGAACAAACAGATAAGGCTTTGGCTTTTACCAAAGCATTTAAAATGCACAATCCTGCACTATCTTAAGTTACTCTGTGCCTTCAACAAGGTTATCAGAGTAGTAAAACAAGTAAGATGTTTGGGGTTTTTTTGGTTTATTTTTTGGAAGGTATGGCCTAAATTAACACAAGGGACAAAACACTGTTTTGTTCAAGAGCCAAAGCATTCAGCAGGGTACGGCTGGCCAAAGTTAAATACAGACAGTTTGCAAGGAGGTACTGAAGATAGCATAGCATTTCTGTTCAAGAATCATTTGTATAAAGATTAAGAAAGGCAGTTTCAGAAATAAAAAGTAGATAGCATTACAACAATATGAGCTGTGCTACAGAAAGCTGCCAGCACATTACAGAAACCACCATCTCAAAGGTGAGACCACCACTGCAGGATGAGAAAACAAAAACCACTGTAGTGACTGAGTACAGGAGCAAAAGGAGAGAACCAGCAATGCATTTTTAAAGATGCATTTTCAATAACAGAAAGCCAGGGACAGGACTACAGGATGCTGAATCAGAAATAATTGCATTTCTTTAAAACATGGAAAACACTATCAAAAAATTGCAGGTAGCTTTTATGTAGTTATTTTGCTGCAGAAAGTATTTTAATAGACCTACTAGAGGTTGACCAGTATCTGAACCCAACTAGCTGTTAAGAGCAGCATGAACAGAACCTCTAATCTGCACAAGTGGAACTCAATCTTACAGCTGCTGCTGGAGTAGAAATTGCCAGCTTTGGAGTAAGAGCTGATAGCCCCACGTGCATCAAAAACAAACTTCATCCAGAAAATCTTCACTGCTAGGTGAACTCAGTCACATTGCTCTCTCCTATTTTGTTTTTACTATTAAATAGCTGGGCTGGACAAACCTGCATGCTTCAGAAACACAGCCTGCTGGACTCGGTGCCGTTTCACAGAGCAGGAGGCAGAAGTGCTTTTCATGGGCCACTAAAGAAGTTACTTATTGGGAAGGCAGTTTGTCTCCTTAATTACATGGAATGTTTATTTTCTAGCATTTCATTTAGCAGTTAATAAAGTGCTTTACAACCTCAACCGTAACATCTTCTCACTGTCACACACAGACAAGCTCACACTGTAAAATCACAGCCAGATATGGCTTGGAAGGGAGCACTATTAAAATGAAGGATGCAGGGGGTTGTCAAAGGTTTGCTGACAGCAAAACTTGGATTTACAAACCTGGAAGAGAGGTTTCCTGCTTCCCAAACGTCACACTTTGAAAAGAGAAGCATTACTAGAACTCTCTCTTCTGCCTCCTCACTTAAAATCTTGATGGAAAATTGTATACATGTTGCATTGGTGCAAAAAGACCTTCTTCCACATTCACCGAGCAATAATCAGCTTCATGGTTCACGTATGTTAATACTGTGAACCATTCCATAACTTTCCGTAGTGTTATTTTAAATTAACCCCCAAAATTATAAATTCCTTCCCAAAATTGCTTTTTAATGCAATATAGTTAATATGAAACTAGTCTAGCTAATGCAGGCAGTTGTAATGCCAACAACTTCAGAATATATTCCAAAGAGAACTTGTTAATATATCCCACAATAATCTTTGTTGGATTCTGAATTTAAGTGTAGGCTGGTTTCTGAATACGAAACGTTCAGCCAAATATAAAATTGAATACTTTTCCTAACCTAGAAATTCCCCACATATACAAGAGTTCAGGGCTCTCTCTGAAAGAGGCTCAACAACTCGGAGGTTCATCTACCATACATAGATATACGTGCACAGATTAAAAGCTAGATTTCAGATCCAAAGAAAAATCCTGGATATTTGCCATTTTAAGACCCAAAGCAGACCTGTTATTACTCTGAGAAAGCCCTGTGCATAATACAGAATTTCATTTTACCTATCCTTGAAAGAAATGCCTGGCTCCATAATGTCTATATGGCATAAAGTCTGAAAAAGAGCAAGAAAAAAGAGAGCTTTCAGATAGCACTTCCCACTGTCCTTCTAAATAGCTTGGAGCAGTTTCACCCTGCTTAGTATCATCCATTCTTAGAGGTTCCTCCCACAAAGATTAAGTATTAGGGCCCCTAAAACAGATTAAAATACTTTGTGTAATGATGAGTGATTTGGACCATCAAACCTGAGCCTAAACCAAGCCATATACTCTTCCCCAAAAGGGATTAGATGAACAGGGCACCAGGTGCCCTTCAGAACTGAGCTGTAAGTAGTTATTGATACTGTACTTGATTCATGATGAGCCTTTTACTTAAACACAAAAAAAGCCAACTGAACAAATAAGTAGACATAGGAAGTTCTTACCCTCCTGTCAATGCAACAAACAATTTTAATAGTAAAGGCATGCTAGTTTATCTAAGCCTTAAGGCTAAAATACAATCACTGTAAGCAGACAAATGAAGTCACAGATCAAGTAATGCTTCCTACAAATCTATTAAATAGGTCAGAATTTCCTGACATATTTCCAATGTTTGCCACGTTAAAACTAACTCCATTTATATGAGAAATTGAGAAAAAGGCAGCAATTCCTGTTGTTGTAAGTCTCACTATGTTACAAAACAAAGTGAAATAAAGTTTATGGCTTTCCACAGTAGCATTGCAGAGATCTTACAAACATGCTCCCCTTACATTCTCTCCAACTAAAGCCAAAAATGGTTATGTAGTTTTATTATTCTACCTGGAAAGCAGCCACAGTTTGCAGAAGTGATACCTAGCAAGTCTTGCTCTTAAGAACCAAAAGCTCTGGCAGATCAATACTCAAGCCTTACATTTGCATAGAAATGATGGATCTGAGATACCAGCTTTGTTAATTTCGCTAATGGAAAAATTGCAGCACCTGCCAAAGAACCAGAAGATGGCTGCTTGCTCAGAACCCCACTTGTCTTTTTGTTTTAAGCCTTGTTAGATTTGGATTAGCATCCTACAAACAACTTTTCCTATTGTAGAAGGCTCTTATTCCTGCTCAATGCACTCTGAATCGAAGGCAACCAGCCCAGGTAGTATTTTTGCACTATTCCTACTGCAAACTTGGGTTCTAGTTAAGAGCTATGCTTGGCAGTAAAGCAGGACTAAAACTGAGATTTTTTTAAAGCCTTAAGCTATTACAGAAAGCAAAGAAAAATTAAGGAAAAGCATGAAAGTAACAAACAACTTTAAAGCAGAAATACTTGTCATCAAAAAGGCACTTCCATACCCTTATCCCACTTCCAACAGAAATATTGCAGTTCCAAATCTCTTTAAAACTCCTGTAACAACAGTTCTACTTGACATGTTAGTGTTGCATGAGAACAGTGCTTCCTCCCTTCCCTCTAGTTCAGCTTTTCCTTATTAAAGCCTACAGCAGAAGCTTACTAAAAAACACAGAAGCTCCTTGTTTGTTTACATTTTCCCTCCCAAACTGAAACTCCAATATTTCAACAGTTAGAACCATTCTAGCAGATACCATCTCCCACCATTTAACTGCACAGTAAAAGTGTTTTCATAAAGGTGCATGCAGTGAACTGTACCTCATTTTCGCCACATTCAGAAGGTGTGTCCTTGTGTACAGCCATCTGATACTTGGCAAATAAAGTGGCTGACTGGTTGAAGGATGATTTGAACTGTGGGTCCTCAAAAGAGACAGGTACTAACCTCACCTTCAGAGCAAGGAAAATACAAGCATACTGTTTTGAGTGCATATAATCAGATAATATGCTTCTGAAGGTAAGGCTAGTGGAAGATCTTCTCCTATCCATTTCAAAGCCTTTGAAGTCAGTATTCTACTTTAAATGTAATAAAAAGTAAATCTATAGGGGAAAGTATATTTACATGGCAACTAACACTAACCTTGAGCTGACTGTTGATACCTCCATTGAAGAATAAAAATTATAGAACACTCCAAAGCACCAGCTTACTCAAACTATTTTTTTTTTTTAACCATGTATCTAAAAAACCAACAACTTTTTCAGTCTACAACTCCAAGAACTATTTAAAACTTTTAATGTCTAGTGGCACATCACTTGACCCCAGTTTAGCTATCACATATTCTTGCTACGTACACTTTTCCTCCAAAACTCTGAAGTTTTTTTTTCCTCAGTATTATTTGAGAGGTAATATATCCAGCACAGGTAACTATAACCTGGTCATCACAAGAGGCAGCAACAATGTGTAATTTAGATAAGAGTTGATCACTGCTTGAGGTGCTTAAATGGAAAATGAAGAGGTTTGCATAATTTAAGTAACAAATCAAACTAACGACTTTACGTGTGATAATTTCTTCACTCACATGTTGGCCCTGATCATGTTTGCTCCTCCACATATGGATGCATTCAAACCAAAACCAATGAGACTGCTTATCAGGGCAAGCATCCAGCCATTTTCAGTTCCTGGGAGATTTATACGTATACGATCCATGATATTTTACCTCCAGAGCCTCATCTCTTTCATCTCTTATTCAATAGCACAGCCATCTAACTCTCAGCTTTTCCATCTGCAACTAAGACCAAATATCCAGAGCACTCAAAAAAGAGATGTCAAAGGTTTGCACTTTCAGGACGTTGATTGCACTTGATGCAGTATTTTACGTACTCCTGAGTGTAAGATGGATATAAAATCCACAATTGCTTCTTCTAGAATCTATGCAAGACACATGAAATGGAGGGGGAAGCTGAGCTTTGCATACAATTCATTTGGCCTTCTGACCTGATTTATAGTTGGTTTATCAGGTGGGTCCTTGTGAATAACCATCTGGTAACGTTTATAGACCTGGTAAGACTCCTGAAATGTGGCTTTGAACTGTGAACTTGGCGGAGATGATCTCACCACCCTCACCTTCAGAAGAAGTTAAACATTTATTATTACAGTACCATGCAATAATTACACATTTATAACATATCATATAACATATCATACAGGCATCACAACAGAGAGAATTTTTCACTTCCTGAAAGAGCCCTACCACTTTGATTAATATTAGACAACAGCCTTTCAATTCTTCTACTCACTTCACATTATTGAAGGCTTTTGTATGTAATTCAGTGTAAATACAAGGTTTTCAAATGATGAATGAACTGAAACGCCTATAGAAGAACCACATAAGTGGTTTTCAGGAACTAAGACCCACAAATGGGAAGCAGATTGACATTTTAAAGAGATTTTTGATACATCTTCAAATCTTCTGTTCCTGTGTTTTCTCATTGTACTGAAAAATACTCGAAGGATTCATGCATTTGAAAGACTCATATCTGTCCTCTTTGGATCCAGGCAGACCACATTTGCATTGCAATGGTCCTAGGAGGATTTCCAGGTATTTTTCAAATTAAAGGAGGAAGAGGAAACTCTGTTCCCCTATTCAATTACTAATTAATTTAGGTAGGAAATTGTGTCCTTCCTACCACCACCCTTACATACAAGAAAATAAATTTTAAAAATCCATAAATTAAACTGTTCTTACTAAAAAAGATTGCTTCCTGACCAAAGGAATGCTACCACATGATGAATGGTGAACTTTCACTATGGTCATTCTCACAAATACCACTGGCTATAATGTACAAAGAAAAATTTATCAACAACAGCAAGGAACAATCTGAGAAGAAAAAACTGCTAGAATCATTCTCCTTCAAATTCTCCCTGCATCATCTTAATGAAAACATTCAGACAGGGCCACTTTACTTGTTAGGTGACATCACAAACCTGGAACAGTTAGCAATTACAGATCAGTTCCACAGTTTCTTGTCAGTTATTTAGAGTGCAATCTTTTAAGTCAGCACCATCTCAAATAAGTACCAGAAATTCGATTCAAATTCAATTTTTAATTCCATTAGTAGCTAAAGGAAAAGGTACATATCCAGAAAGCTTTCCAGCTTCCTGAGAAAAAAGCATGTTTACAATTAACCAGTGTCAGCATGTCCAAAAGCCTTCCAGGTAACTACTTTTATAGTAAAAATAGATTTAATTGCAACCAATATATTATGCTGGTTTCGACCATAACTTTTACAGTTTCTAAAGACATCAACACATGGCACAGACATTTATAAATAAGAGCTATCTTCTCATCTGTTCAGTTTTATCAACAGTTTCTGCTTTCTAGCCAAGATTCAGTAGCATAGATAATTTAACTGTTTATATGCTGCAAAACTAAATATTGAATGTCTCTCATCGTTCAACACTCAGTTAATTCAAAGTCTTTCATTTTCAGGTCACTCAGTATGAAATCAATTTACAAGTGTTTTGTTCCCTGTACTGCTCTCTTCTACAACTGACTGCAAGTGCAAGATTACCCCCTTGTGGTAACACTCAGCTGTACCAAAAATATCACCATGTAAATTCTAAGATTTAAACTACAGCCAGTTAACAAAGCCACAGAAACTAAACACCCAAGCATTTGTCAAGTTCCAAATTTGCCTTCAACAGCAGTGAATGAGCCATTACCTCCAATTTGTGCGGTGCATCATCGGGTAAAGGAACAAAAATGAAGTCTTCAATGCTTTTTGGTTGGTTTGCTGTAGACTTTGAGTTTTGCAAGAGTAAAGCTTGATGTTCTGCTTGAAGTGGAGAGCCTTCAAGGGTGCACCTCTGGTTCCGAAGGAGTTTCTGCAGTTTTCTTTCTTTCCGTATGTCCTTTGCTTTTCGACATGGTGGCTTGCTCAGATCAGCCCCTTTGCCTGTAAGGAAACAAGCAAAGAATTAACACCATTGTGCAAGCAACAAGCAGCCCTCACTCAAGGCTGAAAAGAAATGGTTAGAACTACCAGTAATTGCAGACCACACTCTGAACATAACACAGTCCTCCACATTACACAACTAGTGATAATCCCCTGCGTCAAGGGAAGTTACAATGATTTTTTCCTCTGCAGCTTTCTAATCCAGAGTCAGGAATATGTTTAACAAGTAGAATTCCTCTCAAATTTGTCCTTAATCCCTTGCATAGAACAACAAAAAGCTCCTGTTTAGCACACAATATTATGCTGCCTCGTATCCAAACAGCATCAGGATCAGCTTGAAATACTGAAAGGAAAAAGCACAAAACCAAACCCACAACCACAAAACCTCACTGTCAAATTCATAAAGAATTATTCTACTGCATTAAAAACACAAGCACTATAAAATTAATACTCCACTTAAATCAAGGAGAAAAAGATGCCCGTGGTCCATTCTAACCACAAAATGTGCTGAAAGGACAGTCACCAAATAAATAACCCATTCCTAACCTGCAATTATTTCCCCACATCTCATGATTTTAATTGATACTGATTTTAAACGCATAAATCCAGATTTCTACAAGTTTACAAAAACAAGATTTTTTCCCCCTAACACTCAGTTCTTTCACCTTCACACCCTGTTATCAGCCACTCCAGGAAGCACAGAGGAGTGACTATCATACTTCATTCCAGAAGCTGTGTTAAAGCTGTATGAAGCTGCTGCATTGCTGGAAACAGTGGTGGAAGAATTCATGAATTTCCAGGGAATACCTGCCTGATACTTGCAGCTGCTGTACAAAGTTCCATGCAGAGGGAAAGCTGCACTCACAATTGAATTAGCAGGCAGTTAATCCAGTTAATTCTTATAAAATTGACTCTCGTTCCGTTTTTATTTATTTTACATACAGTGGTAAATGAGCTGGAGGCCAAAAATAATCCATAACACTAACGATTTCAGGAGAGGAATAATGGAACAAACTAGGCCCACAGAGGGAAGCACAGAATCATATATCTTGCACAGAACAAAAACTGTAACAAATATTATGACAAACTGCTGAAGCAGTATTTTATGCTATTAGCTTGCTCCTGAAATCCATATATTTGCAAAGGACACACTGGCAACTCCTGAAAGATTTAGTGGGAATGTACCCAGAATGGCGAGGTGCTTTCATTTGAAGCATTAAGACAACGTGTTTCCAACTCAGCTAATATTTATGAGAAATGAGGAATAATCCAAATGCAGACTTAGCTATGCCTTATCCCACTTCACTCTGCAGGAGGGCTGCAAACTATGTGGAAATCATTTCTTCCTGGAGGCCTAGGAAAATATGGTTAGAGATTTCCTTCCTTATCACCAATAACTTTGTGGCCAAAAATGACATCTTCCTTTTGTCCTCTACCTGCTTCAAACCTTCCCCATGGACAAGGGCAAGAAGTTGCATCCTTCTGCAGACTGGAAATGGTAAAAGCACTGGTGAAAGGCTCACAATGTGCTTAGGTTCACTTCATCTGCATAGAACTGCAGCCTTCAGAGTCACAGCTTCGTCTGTTGCTACCAATACACCACAGAAGTTGTCAAAATACTTCCTACTGGAACCAACTTTCAAGCATCAGTAAAGCTGTAAACTATTCTTCCTAATGCACATACCATACAGGATGCAATGGCTTCACTTACTCTGGGTATACCTGTTTTGGTTCATACTAATATACTGAAAAGCAGTATTTTATTTGAAGGATAAAGCACTACTTCATCAGTTTTGTTTTTCCTGGTGCATTTAACCATCTTCATTGTAAAAGAAAACAATGGTCACCTGTCTTTTTCCAAAATGTACATTAATTATTTTATTTAAACCCCAAGCACAAGCTCTAGTTAGAGGTACAACTTAAGTTAGAAACCAGAGATGACAGTTTTATGAGAACATGATAGAAGAAATAGCAACTGGACTAAGGGAAGCAGATTTTACTCCTAAGACAATGAAAATTATTTGTTAACATCTTGCTAACTGCTTTCTAGGACAAAGCACACTGCATTTGGTTGCATCAAGCCAACAGTTCAGCCCATGGAGAATCGTGATTCATCTTGGAGAAGAGAAGGCTCCAGCAAGACCTCCTTGTGGCCTTCCAGTACTTGAAGGGAGTGTATAAACAGGAGGGTGAATGGCTGTTTACAAGGGTGGATAGTGATAGAACAAGAGGGAATGGTTTTGAACTGAAACAGGTGAGGTTTAGGTTGAATCTTAGGAGGAAGTTTTTCAGCCAGAGGGTGGTGAGGCACTGGAACAGGTTGCCCAAGGAGGCTGTGGATGCCCCATCCCTGGAGGCATTCAAGGCCAGGCTGGATGTGGCTCTGGGCAGCCTGGGCTGCTGGTTGGTGACCTGCACACAGCAGGGGTTGGAACTGGATGAGCACTGGGGGAATCAAGTGTTGTTTCTGCATTAGAATTGTATAATATTATTTTCATTTCATGATCTCCGCTATCATAGTTCTTTTTGGGAGTCCTTCTACTTAACTAGGGGAAGATCTCTGATAAGTTTACATCACTTATCTTCTAGACGAACCTTCCAGGGAACGCACACTCTGCACAGAGGTATATAGATATATATTTTGTCATACACACTGCAAGAATATCCTGCACGAGAGCAAACCAGAGAACAAGCCATGGCCTGCCCAAGGAAGAGCCTGAAGAGACACTGGGAAGGCCTGACATCATCCCCCAGTGCTCTTTGTCTAACGATGACTTTAAAGAAAATAACCATATCAATACATCAAGGAGAACAATGAGACAGCTTGGTAACAACAGAATTACTGCTGACTAACAAAAAAATTAACAAGTAAATAGAAAACGTCAACCTTCTGATAAGATTGTGAACCTGGAGTACCCAGCCATTGGGGAAACAGGGGAGAGGGGGAAGCAAGGGGGTGAAAACAGGGTCTAAAGGCTGTCATGTTGTGCCCGTAGGCGCTCCTGCTTGCGGGATGCCGCCATTGCAATCGCGAATAAATTCTGCCTTGGATATTTCCAACAATCGCTGTGGTCCTTTTCAACCCAGGCCATTCTATGATTTGTATATGCCACATGGAGACTTAGGAAAGGGATGTTCATCTCAAAATATAGAGCTACCATTACCAAAAGTGCAGCGAGAACTGCTCAGAATTTACAGGATCCCTAAGACTTCCACAGTGCCACTGTCTCAAGTGCACAACACCAAGATTCTGTTTTGGATATAGACATATAAAAACAGAACAACAAAGGATAACACCTAAACTATAAAAAACAACAGGACCCCTACATGTAAGCACTTTCTGCAACCTACAGGTTACTTTCTGCAACCTACAGGTTACATTTTTACCAATGTTTCTGGTTCCCATTTAAAGACTTTCTCTATGTGAGCTATGGAAAACTCTTGAAAACAGTTTATAACTACAATGCTGGCACAAGTCCTCAGGGCTCACCCAGTCCAGTTGTTCCACGTGGGCTCCATGAAAGCTGAAGTGCTGAGAGCATTTCAGAAATAAAGCTAATACCACTTCTGCACCCCTCGGACTTCCTACAGATGAACAAGCAGATTGCACCCGAGCATCCTTACCTCTCACCTACAGTCTTTGGATATTTGTCTCATTCAGACAAAAATATTCACCAGAAAAGGACAAATATCCTGAGACCATTACAGATGTTACGTGATCTGACCAGGGATAAACAAGTCAGTGGATGAGTTTATTTAAAATACTCATGATAAATCTGAAGAATGTTACAGCACTTCATCTGCCTTGGGCTCTGTTTCTCATCTCATATCTTCTATAAGCTATAAGTTAGCTAGAAAAACTTTTTAAAACAATGGATGTGCATGCAGACATAAGCAAACATTTCCCATCTGAAACTGTGCAGAAACAGCCCATTTTTTCCTATAGGACAATGAGCTGTTTATAAAAGAATAAAAATGCAATTAAACAATCTTATTACAGAATAAATCTACATTTTCCAAGATGAAAACTAAACATCTCTCTATCTGGAAAATTTTGAACTAAATTTGACCTGGGACACCACCTACTTGAAACAAAAAAAGCTTCTGATGAATTTCTTATTGCTTTTTAATGAATATTTCTCCTCTATAAGATTAACCCTCCTTTTCTGAAACACTCTGTGAAAACAACGTTTCAAACACCCCTTACCTGCATTGGCAGTGTTTAAAGTTACTCGGTGTTATTAACATAACTGAAGACTGTTTCTCAGCCTTCTCCAAATCAGTTCTCCTTACCTAAGACTGCCACCTGCTGTCCATTCCTACATAGTTTGTTTCCAAAATGAAGTTTACATGACTCAAAACTGATTATTTTAAAAACAAGAGGAGCTTGGAAATTTGCACAGCACAGCCACGTGATCAAACTAAAATAAAACCTTGAAGATCCCAGGCAAGCTTCTTAGGAACTTGCATTAGTTCTGTGTTGCACTGCTGGTTTTCTGACCAAGCTTTCCTTTTCGTTCAGGTGCAAAACTGCTGCTGAAAACCTGATGCTGTTGCTATGAGTGATGGTTCGCATTCTTTTGAAGTGTCAGCCTTGAAAGTAACCAACCCACAGGAAGAGGCAAAGTCTTTTGAAAACAGAAGTACTGTGATGCTCTCATTAAACACCAGCTCAATATAATAGGTGAAAATTAGGAATTAGTATGATGGCCCAATGTATGCAGAAACCACAAAGCATCCAGTTCTCACCAGGATTTCAACCATTTTCAACCATGCTTGTTACTCCACATACAACTGCAATCCAGAAAATACCCTCAATGTCTCTGAATCATTTTGGATACTGTGCAACACTGAAAACATTACCTGCAAGATGAGGCTGCCTCACCTGCAACCCTTGGCCCACAAAGCATTTATAAGATGCAGCCACTTCCTTCTCGTGCTCAGGCTGTTACTCAGATGACTTATGCTGACAATAACCCACCTACCTCTTACCACATCCCACAAGAACAGGCACATAAGAAGCTGTAAGAGTGGCAATCCACAGCACTCTGCATGAATGCCCCAGCAGCAAAACTTCTGTCACAGTCAGAAAGGTTAATGCAGGGGAAGGGCAATACAGGAGTGTAACAGCAGAGGGACCAGTGCAGAGAAGATGGTATTTCAAAGGAAAAGTAAAAGGTGCTCACCCATCCTTGAAGATCTAGGCTTGCAGGAAAGACTCCACACAAAGAGGGATCTCCAACCAGAGATCCTTCCCCAGTGGTAGTGTAAGAATGGGGTTTCAGAGAGGTACAGCCAGGCTCCAGCCCTTCTGGTCACATAACTGAATTGCCCTCATCTGTGCTCCCAGGGCTGACCAGGTCCTTTCCCCAGCTGCTCAATCAGTGGTTCAGGCCACGACTCAACAGTTGCCATACAACTTCCCTGCATTTTCTTTTTATCCAATGACCCTCAAGGACTTCTCTGCAAGTGCAACAGACAAGGCCACGGCACACAGTATACCAGCTGTGACATTTGGTGTCAACTGTTAAGATGATCAGGGTTCAAGGTTACCTTACTTAGTACACACACTTACCATACTTCCTCACAGAAATGTAATTTTAACCTCACAGTAAGAAAAAGGTAGAAATTATTACAATTTTACAGTTTCATATCTGCTTATGACATTGCTTTTTTAAGTCAGTTATCAAAAAATCTAGAACAAGGCAAGCTCCCAAAGTGATGAAAAATCTCAACTAGGAAACAGAAGAACAATATCTGTACTTCCCTCCCCCCCCCAACCAGGAAAGCTATGTAGTTTCCTTAAAGCACACATCATTAGACTGGGTGTATTTCTACTGCCAGTCAGGTCTGCAGCAAACAGGCTATGAAAACATTATGCAGCCTTAAGCCAGTTATTAGTGGAGTATAATCATGGGGTGTACACTTTGCATAACAAGACAGCCTACAGATACAAAGAAGTGTAGAAACAATACTTACTCTTATTAGATCTCCAACTGGTTTCCCACTGCTGCACAAGGAAATAATGTTAAGCCTTAACCTGACCCCGCAGCTGGCACTCTTGCAGCACAAACACACCTCAAGGTACTTAAGTCTGAGTAACAGCATCCCCGTAGAAGAAAGAGAAAGCTGGATTGTATGTCTTTCTGCACAAGAAAAGTATTCCAAACTGGAAATAGATCCTGATGTCTGATGACATTCAATCACCTTGACACATAACTACAATCTACACAGCTTTCAAACATCAGAACTGTCAGTTGTATATAGGTATTTTCAGTAACTATACTGGAAAGCTGAGCATGATGGAAATCAGTGCAACTTCCAGGAAAAACTACAAAAACAAGCAACATGCAACATCTATCAATACACATGTTATAATTTCACAGATGGGCAAGGGTATACAGAACAAGAAACAACAATTTCCTGAATTACTAGGCAAGATAAAAAAAAAAAAAAAAGAAGGATTTTAAAAACCCACAAGTAATGCAAACATGTTCCAATTACTACCAGAAACGTAACTACCTGGCTTTGGTGGTGCATGAACAATTTTAGTAGAAGATGATGGTTCTCCAGGGACTGCTGCATCTTTATCTCCACGTATCTGAAGAGAAGCCAACTCTGCCTTCTTCACATTCACCTCTTCTTTTGTTTCTCCTTTGTCCTCATCTTCCTTCTCCACTCTGTCTGTGTGATCCTCATTTAAGGGAGTCAGTTCAGCCTCGCTGACATGAGATTCACTTCTGTGTACAAAACCACATGAGACTGCATCCTCTACATGGGAATCCATAGGCTCTTCTGTAAACAATTACAAATTGCATGAGTTGACTTACTGCTGTGTAACCACAACTCACACCCTGCACCATTAACATCGAGATCAACTTCTTTCCAATTTTGCAACTGTTTTCCAACAGATCTGGAATAGTCCAAAAACAGAAAGCTTTTTTGCCATCTTACTAGCATCATCTTACAAATAAGAGATTCATTTTTTCCCAATAAAATTGGGTGGTCTCCACTAATTTCACACTACAAGTCCTGTCAGAAGAGGGAAATTAGGTCTCAGAACTGACACGACAGGTTCCACCACAATTAAAGTAGCTGGTTCTGGTGTTGGATAAGCAAAGTGTCACCTCTCAGTCACTTGGAGGAAAAACACTTCTTCCTGTTTCTGCTTCCTTTTCACTGCCCTGCTTGGTCATCTCCCAATTATCACTTTTATGATAGCTAATAACAGCCTGATTCTCTACAGCATCAGCTACAAAGCAAACTTGTGTCTAGATGTAAAACTGGAAATACACTGGTACATGCAAAAAGCAATGGAATATCCTCCAGTAGAGCAAGGCAGCTGCCACAATTTGTTCTCTGCACTGCATTGTGCCCCTGATTCAAAATACTGTAAAGGCATAACCTAGTCAGGCCTTTACAAAGGGGACTGCATGCAGAAAAACAACAAATCACACTGATGCCATTCAATCAGTCAGTCAGCAACTTGATCCTCATTTCAAACATCCGTCTTGCTTTTTTCAAATCTAGGAGTTTCTTACCTTCACTCACTGCTTTTGAAACATCTCCTTTAGAAATGAACTTCAGCATTTTCTTCAGAACTTTCTTGTGAGATTTGGAGGTCTGAAAACGCAGTGCCTGGCACCTTCAAAAGAGTTATGACTGCTTCATATATTTCCTCAAAATACAAGGAAATTTATGAAGTAATAAGTGGCCAAATAGTTTATCAACAGTCTTGATTTGATCATATTATGTTCTCCTGTTCTCCATTATATCATTATTATAGCAATACACACACATTCAATAATCACAAAAGTATACCACTGTGACCTGAAGCACTACAGAAAGAAAAGTTCTCCCTAGGAGGACAATACACTAGAAACTTAGTTATCTATAGACACAACACTGAATCTAAACACTAGTGGCAGAAAAGCATACCTAGAATCATTTATACCTATTCAATTGACAGCCTCTCTCATTTGGGCTACTAAAGCAGTTTTGGAGAGACAGGCATTCTGGTTCACCTGCACAACCAAACAAAACAGCAGTCACTGAACTCTTGCCTTGGACTGCAATGCAAAACAAAAGGGAAGGGTACAGACTGCATTCAGGAAAACATTACAAAGCCAATGACAACATCACAGAGTTACCAATGTGCCTGTGCACAAACTCAATGGAATATACTTGGTATAATGAAAAGTAGGTGAATTTAAGTCCTGTGTGTTTAAGCCAATAAACATAATGGTTGCACATACTTTAAATGGTCAAACCACTTACGGTACCATACGCCAACTCTCTTACCTTATTGTGTATTGAGGACAACATGTTTGATTCATGATAGGTTTGTAGACGTATTTTCCACTTCTAAAAATAATAAATACTGTTTTCATCATCATTTATCTTACAATATTAACGTTAACTAACATTTAAGTAACAACAAAATCTAAGAAATAGTATCAAAAGCTGAAGAGGAAGGTCCACAGCTTCCTGCCATTATATCAGCATATTACCCATCCAGAATAAATAAATTTTCATTAATGAAAGTTCACCAGAGAGCACAACTAAAAAAAGCATGTTGCATCTAGAGTGCTTTCTGTGTATCAGAATAATACCCTAGATTCTCCAGCACATTCCCCCCTGAACATCCTCACTTATTCCCAAGAAGTGCAAGCAGCTGACGAGAACTGCCTGTAACACTGTCACAGAATGGAAAGCGGAGCAACAGTAAGCAAAGTAGCCAAGTCCCAGGCTGCAGCAAACGAGGATATGCTCAAACACAGCACCCACAGACACAGAAACAAAGGAGACTGCTTACTCTTGGAAAACCTCTGTTAGGCAGGGTTCTCCAGCAAGATCCCCTCACCTCCGCTGCCAGCCCTTAAATGAGGTCTGGGAGGGGGGTGGAACCTGCCTTCCACCAAGTAGGTGTTCAATCACTGCTTCAAGCTGTGACTTCGCATTTCCACTACACTCCTCTTGCACACATACTCTTTCATTTCTGCTCCTTATTCTGCAAGCATAAGCTCCAGTAATGACAACAAAATACCTACCCACATACCCCTAAAAACAGACCTTAGGAAAAGAAGCATTTTCTGTGGTCAAGGGATTCTATTAGAAAAGGAGAGCAAAAGGAGAATGAATTTAAGCTGGTGATGTTTCGGTATCATTTTATATTTACCTTCGCCATCCCCTATCTATGAGGTCCTGGTAATCTTGAACCGTCATTGAATGTGCCCACATACCTGAAGGAAACAGTAACACGCTCGATTGGCAACAACAACTACATTTCAACACAAGATGTAACAAGTTCTGCAGAAGTTACATAAAACTACACAGCTAACAGGACACCAACAGATGTCTCTCAAGGACATGGCTACATGTGAATCTCATCAGTGATTAAAGGACAGCAACAAGTTTTCCTCTCCTCCCATTTCTTCCCCCGGGGCTGGGACTGGGCTCGCCCTGGGCTGCCCAAACATACACGCTTTAAGCTGCCAGCCTCGCCGTGAAGACAAGCTGCCTTTCTCTAAGGAAATCACCTGCCAAACACGAGGTTTTAGCCGTCTTAAGCACAGCCATGCCTAAGCAAGCAGGCTCACCTCAGTTACTCAAAGAGCACAACAACCTGTAACTTCGGCAGGCAGCAACCAAACAGCACCTCCTGACACGCTTAGGTCACATTTGGGTCAGGAGCCGAGCATTACTGAAGCCGAGCATTACTACCAGCGTGTAAGAGCTGGACGCGGCCCTGTCGGGGCACTCGTGCCCCAGGAAGAGCACGGAGCCGCAGAGACGGCCCTCCCTCAAAGCGGCCCCCTCAGAGCCCGGCTCGCTCCCCGCCCACCCGGCCCGCACCGTGGGAGAGGTTGCCGCTCTCGTTCTTGCAGTAGCCGCAGCGGTACCCGTCCTCTCCCCCGAAGTACTCGACGATCGTCGGCGAGCTGCCGGCCGCCGCCATGTTCCCCGGCTCAGAGCAGCTCCCCGCCGCCCGCCGCCTCACACCGCGCTCCGCGCCGGCCGGAAGCGGCCGCCGCCGCCATCTTTGCTGCGGGCACTGCGCGGGCGGAGCCCGCCGGAAGGAGCAACTCCGCCATCTTCACCGCGCTTCCCCACGCAGACCGCCGAACTCCTCCATCTTTAGTGAGGGCGGCCGCGCTCCCACAACGGCGCGGCTCCCGGCACCGGCCCCGTCCCGCTTCCCCCCGCTCACCGGCGGAGACTTTCCCCTGCGCCGACGCGCAGTAGCCGCAGCGGTAGCCCTCCTTCCAGCCGCGGTACTCCACCACGGCGCGGCGCATGGCGGCCCGGCCCCGCCCGGAGCGCCGCCCCGCCCGCCTCAGCGCTACCGCCAGTCCCTGAGCGCGTTTTATCACCGCAATCAGCTTAAAGTACCCCGATGTTTGAATAAAAATAAATTTAATATTACAATATATACAGATAAAATCTTAATTGAAGAATACATTTGTAAGTATCTTTCTTTAAGGCACCTAGAGGGGGAAAAAAGAAGAAAGTATTAATTAAGATATAGAACTTACCACAGAGATAATACAGTAATTCAGTGCTATTGTTTAAACGATGTGGGAGGGAACCAGACAGGTTAAGCCCTATCTCAGACTACTCTTAACCAGCTCAGCTGTCGGCATGTTAGAAGAAACACTACAGGAACTGCAGTGATTCTTCACAGCATAACATTTCAGGAATGTAATTCAATGTAACATTCCACAATTGAACTTCCATCACCTATGAGCTTGTCAGTTAATTACCATATAGAAATTATACGACCCAGGAAAAGATCAAGAATGTAAAAAGCCATGATGTCACTCAATTACCCAGCTTGTAGTGCTTCTACATACATCTCATTTCCCTGCAATTTCTCACATGCAAAAAGACCTCAGCACTGTATCTTTTGGGTCTAAGTATCCACCCTTTGGGTCCTTACCTGAACAATTAAGCTGTCTCCATTTCATCTTCAATGCTATCAGGAGGGCTGATCATTGGTTCTGTTATTTCATATGTTTCTACAATTTCCTAATTAGAAGTGACAGAAAAGTATGTAAGTTACAGGGCTGAATTATTTAAATACAACTGCAGTTATCAACAGGTGTAAATGAAGTTTCTCATATTAAAGCACTATTTTGAATGCCTGTTCTGAACATACTGAGGAGAAAATTTTATCTAAGAAACTTTTTATAAAAAAACAGAACAGTGAGGAAAACCGTACTTCCCCACTAGGAGCAAATATCATATATAAGGGGAAATAACAGATTATGTGATTATGTAGTCCTCAGAAAGTAGTAAAAACAAGCCATTAAAGTCAAAAGCACTTAAACTGGCAGGACTTCATGGGTTAAAGATGGAACTGCCATCCACTTCTCCATTTTCTTGGGGTTAAAAACATTCATCAGATTTGTGGTTGTTCTTGAATCCATGAAATTAAATGCAGTAATATTTGAAACAATAATAGTAATAATCATATATGAACATTCATCCTCATTTGAGTACGTAAGAACACAGCTCTCAGGTATTCTTAAACTTCAGGGAAAATAAATGAATCAAAGTTATCGAGTATTATACCCTCCATTCTTCATGGCTCAGGGAGATGACAACTTGGTTCCGTGCTCGAGCACTGTAGTCATCATTTTTTTCTTCAACGTTCTGTACAGGCTCTGTTCAAAATATTGGATTTTCATTATCTTTACAGTGGCCTTCAGGAACACAAAAGCTTCACAAACATCAATATCACTAACATGTACTCTACTAAATTCCTCTCTTACAGTAGCCTGTACTACATGCTGCCTAAGGAAATTTCTCTAGTCTTACCTCTTTAACATTTAGAAACTAACTTCCTCCAGATTCCCAGAAGGGTCTGGGTGTTTTTAGTCAAATCTCACCAAGTCTTAATCCCATCGATACCCTGTGAGAATGAGAACTGGAGACCCCATTCGTACCATTTCCTTTCCAACTGTTTTAAAGCTGCAGCGCTTCTTGTCTTGGATAAACAAAGGAAAACAAGTATTTTCCTCCAAACATAGCAGTACACACATACTTATCAAGCAAAATATCACTTTGGAGGTAACAGAATAACTTTTTATTACTAGTAATTTGTGCAAGTCACCATAACAGGTTTTCCATATTTCTACATTTAAAAGTCTCAAACTTTTCAATTAGTCTTATAAATCTCTTTGTGCCTTCAGTTACATTCACTGCTTACCCCCTAATTTCTGCTCTTTCAGCTACACATCTGTAAAGCTTTGTGAACACATTAAGATACAGCTACTCTTCAATGTTATGACAATAAAAACAGTTTTTTAAAGTTAGATTTACATACCTATTACTGGCAATTTATCATCATCCAGCTTTAATCTTGCTAAACCATCCTAAAGACAAAGGATTGAAGATTTCAGATGTTATAATGCAGTGATACATATAAGTAGTCACTACTACAACATTACATCATCATAAACATACATTAATAATCCTAATTAGCAAGAAATAGGAATATATTTAATTACTGTGCTTACAAAGGAGAATGCAGTAAGTGCAGTAAATATTGACATGTAATAATTCTTCAATACTAACACACGTATGCTTGAACTCCTTTTTGAAAAGATTAATAGCAAACATTTAACCATTGTGAAACTTGCTGTAATAGCAAGAAATATCAGTACAAAAATAGTCTATTTTCTTTTTTATTCCATTTCCAAAATATCAGAGTGTTTGTGGAAACCTAATCAGGAATTCTAATATTTAAATCCTACTATTTCAATATCACATAAAACAAAAACAAGAAATCAAGATTTCCATGTAATTCCAGCATCTCAAGTAAGATATCAAGAACTTGTCTTGCCTTACCCTTACTATGAAGGACACATGGAAGATGTTTTCCACAGTGCGTGCAAAGGAGTTTGGATCAACCACAAGATCAAAGAAGAAAATAGGAGTACGAGCTGGCAATGTCAAAATGGTTCAGTTAAAAACAACAACAATAAAAAACAAACAAACAGGTGATACCTGCAGAACTAATACACAAACAAGTTAACAGCACTACTCACTCTAAAAATTAAGTCAGTGCTTACAGTGACTTAGCTATAATGCTGACTTCACAACTGCACACATGCAGAAAAAAAGCTTCCAGAGAATATTTCATTCTACCTTTTGGCCCACGTATACACACACGTGTGTACAGAACACTTTGTAGATACACCACTATTTGATTTACCTCTTAAAAACAAAGACATAGATTAAACTGACTTTGCCATCAAACAGGTTGTGGAACCTGCTTCAAGAGCTGGATGTGGTCCTGGGCACCAGCTCCAGGTGGCTTTACATCAGCAAGGCTTGGACCAGATGACCTCTCCAGGTCCCTTTCATCTCAACCTTTCTTTGACTAAAATGAAGCCTCAACCAACCAGATTTCATAAAGAATACACAGTCAGTACACAACCTTCAGAATAAACATTTCTACACATCAACTCCACCTCGTTTTGCCTCTGTAGTTTAACAGCTCTTAACTGTGGAAGATAAGAGCACTCAGTCTCAAACTGATGCTGTAAAAGCTGAACTGAGCCATACTTACGATCATTTCTGAAATGAGTCTGTAACAACCTCAAGATCCTCTCCACTTCTTTCGCTGTAGCTTCCTGATGAGACTCCTCCATTTTTTTTAACTGTTATAAGACAAGAATACGAAACTGACCTTTTAGGAACTCATTATGTAACATATTTTTGAAAGACTATTCTTGGAAGTGAATGTTTGACAAAAGCTAGAAACTAGCAGGGAAAAATGAAAATAGACAAACAGTCCATAAATCCTACTTCATTCCACTCAGTTAATGAAGTGCTGTAGTCTACACAAAACAAATTAGGAGGCATAATAGTAAAGTCTGAATCTTTTAGTGCTATACAGGTAAGAGCTACAAAACAATAACAACAAGATTTCTACGTCGTTTGAAATTATTCTGTTATAACAAGTCATTAACAAAGACAGCAGTGCACAAACCTGAGCAGGCATTGCCCGCTTTCCTTCCCCTCCTGGAGCCTTTCTCTGCCTCTCAATCCGTTGCCTGGGCATGGGAGGTTCAGACTTGAAAGACCCCAACCTAAGCAGAATAAAAAGAACATATATATGTGTATGAGAATTGCTGAATCACAGCCTGAACCACTGATTGAGCACCTGGGGAAAGGACCTGGTCAGCCCTGGGAGCACAGGTGAAGGCAATTCTACTTTGTGACCAGGAGTGGAGCCTGGCTGCACCTCTCTTAGACCTCATTTAAGGGCTGACTTGAGATTAAACTCAACTCAAGTCCAGGGCATTAAAGGTAATTAATCAGAATTAAAACCACTTAGGGCTGTTAGCTTGTGCTGCAATAAACTTACATGTAATGAAAAGAAGGTGCTCTCCTGAAGTACTTTTCTGCTTCTTCTCCCAGCTTATACCAGGCACTGCTAGGTAAGTAGCCACCTGACGTGTTCTCAGAATCGCTATCGTTTCCCTCCGTTTCTGTGCGATTTATACCCATGAATGTCAGCTTCAAAAGGCAAAAGAAAACTGCAGTGAGAATTCTCATCAAGAAAGACTAGCAGACCAATGGTGAAAAACTGTACTGGTGTCTGTCCTACTAGATTTCTATTTAATGTCACAGTATAGCAAAAGAAATTTGATTTTCCTGATGGCTCAATCAATACAAAAAAAGCACAGACTCGTAACTTACACAGGCAAGTCATGCTGTATCTAAACAGAGGATTTAACATCAGACATTTTCATCTACTTTAGATGACAAAATCCAGAATCAGTGTTTTGCAGTGAATCAATTTCATATAGAAATGAATGAGCTGTAGTTGTCTAAACCACTGTATGGAAAAACCATGGGGTGGATTGTAAGAAAACGGAACCAAAATTTAAATCTCATTTCAAGAGATCTTAAGCTTCAAATACGAATCAATCTAGCATTTCCAGACACTTCACTAGACCCAAAGAATTGTATTTTTCCCCCTTCAACAAACTTCTCTTTCTTACATTACAAATGACCGCAGACACTGCAGAATACACACAGTCTCTTATGTTTTTCATTGCTTAGATTATCACCACTCCTAGACAAAGGTCACATGAGTTTCTGCCCTCTAATTATCAGTGGAACAAAAATAGAGCGCAGTGCTTATCCAGTCAATGAAATCAAGAACATGAGTTGACTCCTGCCATAACCCTACTGGTTGCAGCAGCAACTCCCCATAAGCTTTCAGCTAATAGTGATTGTGAGCCCCACTGTTTCAATAGCTGCATTGATAAAAGACTCACTGATTTCTGTAAGGAGCTAACATGGTACATCTCCACTTACACATAGTATTTTTGTTTTCAGTAATCACTACACAGCATCAGTAATGCAATGAAAAACTATGGGTAAATAAAACCAGTCGTTAACAGTCTTTAAATTACGTATGGAGCAGGAATGCATTTTGCACTAGCTCTCAATTTTTGACCACCACATAGATCCAGGAAGCCTATCATTTCAAATATCATACAACAGCTTATTTGGCCCAACCTTACATCCCCCAATCCTTCCCCAGGAATCAGCTTTAATAAAGAATTGAAAACTGGGGGGAGGAGGGGGAAAGAGTCTGCTTCAGTGGTATCGTAAAGCCACTCTTCCATCTGGCCACTGCAAAAAAACAGATAAACTGACATCTCTAAAAACATCTGAATAATACACGTGGAACCTTGAGAATTCCATTCAAAAATACATAAAGCAGCAGACTAGATAAAGAAACTGCTTAGTGTGAACCAAGAGAATGCTGTCTGTCAAAGAAAGCATTTAAGACAACCCTAAAAGCATGTACTATTAAACTATGACAAAGCAGCAGCAGTACAACAATGGCAAGAGGAAAATGCCTACATTTGAGAGTTAAGATTCTCACTTACACAAATTGGAAATGCTGAACCCACTGTTTAAAGCAATTAGCAAAACTAACCAGAACATTAATCAAGGAAATTCAGAGGAAAACAGTTATGTCCCATCAGAACTGGGACTGACAATCTCAGACTTTTCTTTTATGAGTCTATAAAAAGAAAAAAAATAGGGCAAAGCCTAAGTCTGGAACTTACCAAATCTTCTGCAAATGTTAGTGAATCAAACGTTGTGATCTCTGAGCGCAACTCATTGGCTTTCTCCTTTCCTAGATTTGATGCCAAGACAAGAAATTGGGCATCCAATGCAGCTTCTCGTGCACGGGAAACTGTTACAGAAGAAAAAGACTGCGTGTTAGCAATACACAGTTGTCAAAAACCAAATTCAGCATAAAGGGGATCCTCAGCGTGGAGCTTTGTAAACCATTTTACTGCAATGACCTCTAACACAATTACTTACATAATACTTCCATTTCCATTAGAAAAGGGAAAAGGAGAGGATGGCTGAACAAGGGCAATCACAGAGTCACCTTGTAACAATGAAAAATGCATTTCATTCAACATTTGAGGTTTTTTTCCCCTCCAAGTGAAACAAACCCATCTACAGTTACATCTTTTGAGTACTACTTCTATCCTACATAGTCAAGATAAAGCACAAAGCATTTCTAAGCACAAACAAACATTACTGTAATTAGATTTTCTTCTCATAACACCTTATCCAAACAATTCCTCTTTAGCTTAATGTTTTAATATTTCTGATAAAGTACTTGGATGTCAGCTTCATTCATTTGCTCTTCTTTGTTTATTAAAGTATCGTCTCCTCACATTTGGCTGTTAATCCACCACCTCTGACAAGTCCTGACAAGGACTACAGAATTTGTTACCTCCAGTGAACAGTTGATTGGCTTCCTCCAAAGCTTCCGTCAGCCTGTTGCTTTTGGAACTCAGCATATCCTCACGATTTTCTGGAGGAAAGGACACAAATGAAATCCTAAATTATGTAAATATGGAACTATCAATACATACATACACACACCTTAATCAAAACTGTCCTGTTCACACATCACATCTTACTGAAGTTGTGTTAATTACACACATCCCACGAGTTTTACTGCAAAGCTCAAAATTGATAGATCCCAGGTTCCTCTTAGCTGCAGCTAAACGCCCATATCTGTGCCAAAGCAGCCACTAAATACTGCTGGGGTCTCTGTGTTGCTCACCTCATCCATTTCAACTAAGGACTTCAGGAAACAAAGGGATAAAAAAACAAAGGCAAAAAGATACATGCTTGGTGATTTCTGAATGTCATCAGGTCAAACACACTTAATTATATTTGAGGTATACACATGATTTAACAAGGCTTTCAGATGTGCAGTTCTTAGTTACTGCCATTCTTTTAGTGCACTGGCATAGACAGCACCGTTGTTTTTTCTTAAGCACAGACTGACCCATCCATAAACCATGCTGTATTTTTATAACAGCTCTACACATTCAGCCTGCAGGAAGCAATAAGCACTAGACCTCGCTAAGTTTGGCACTGCTTACTAAACCACAGCTGTAATGCCTCACTGAGAAAAGCAACACAGTGCAAACCTCTGTGGAGGAAGCAGAAACACAGGCAATTATCTGGAGAGCTGCTCATAGAATCACTTCAGCTGGCAGGGCACCTTAAAGGCCATCTGGTCCAACCCTCTGCAGTGCACAGGGACACCCACAGCCCCATCAGGTGCTCACTGCCCCATCCCCTCATTCTGGCTGTCTGCAAGGCTCAAACACCACCACGTCCCTGGGCACCCCATACAGTGCCTCAGCACCCTTATCATAAATATCTTCTTCATTATATCCAGGAATCTAAATCATGGAATCGCTCAGGTTAGAAAAGATCTTAAAGATCATTGAGTGTAACCGTGACCTAACCATGCTACCCTAACTTTAACAACCCTCTGCTAAATCACTGAGCACCACATCCAAATGGTTTTTAAACACATCCAGGGATGGTGACTCAACCACCTCCCTGTGCAGCCCATTCCAGTGCTTAACAACCCTTCCTGTAAAGAAGCTTTTCCTGATATCCAACCTAAACTTACCCTGGTGCAGCTTGAAGCCATTTCCCCTCATCCTGTCACCAGCGAGAAGAGACCAACCCCACTCTCACTGTAGGCACCTTTCAGATACTGGAAGACAGCAGTAAGGTCTCCCCTCAGCCTCCTTTTCCCCAAACTGAACAGCCCCAGTCCCTCCTGTCTCTCCCCATAGGCCATATTCTCCAAGCCCTTCACCAGCCTTGTTGCCCAACTTTGGACCTGCTCCAGCACCTCCATGTCCTTTCTGTACTGAGGTGCCCAAAACTGAACACAGCACTCGAGGTGAGGCCTCACCAGTGCCGATTACTTCCCTAGTCCTGCTCACCACAGCATTCCCGATCCAAGCCAGGATGCCATTGGCCTTCTCAGCCTCCTGGGCTCATACTCAGTACTGTCCATCAGCACACCAAGGTCCCTTTCCGTCAGGCAGCTCTCCAGCCACTCCCCCCCCAAGCCCGTAGGGTTTCCTGGCGTTGCTGTGACCTTCCGCACAGCCCCAGCTCAGCCTGTCCTCGCAGGCAGGGGTTCCACCCCTCTGCTCACTTCTGTGCCCCTGCTCTGCACTGCGCTCCAACAGCTCCGCGTCCCTCCCGCACTGAGCGCAGCCCATCCGGACGCAGCGCTCCAGGTGAGCCGTTCCAGCACGGAGCAGAGGGGCGGAAGCACCTGCCGGCCTGGCTCACGGCTCACATCCCCCGGCCCCGCCTCACGCTGCACGCTGCAGATGAGCTCTCGGTACTGGTTGCGGATCATCCTCCTGCTGCGCTCATCGCCGCCGCCTTCGGAGCTCCCCGGCGGCCGCGGCCTCTCGCTCTCCGGCTCCTCTCCGTCGTCCTCGTCCTCCTCTTCATCCTCCTCGTCTCCTTTCTCGGAGGCGGGCGGGCGGCCGAGGCTCGCCGCGAGCCGCCGCCGCCTGCGCTGCGACACGGAGCCGTTGCGAGAGGCGGACGGCAGCGAGAGGCGGCCGCGGGCAGAGCCGGAACTCCGCGGGGAGAAGGAATCGCCGCTTGCATCCGACTCGGCCATCGCTGCCGGGGCTCGGGCCCGCGCGGCCGCCGTAGGAGAAGCGGGCGGGGCTGAACCGCTCTCGCCCGGCGCAACGGCGGGGCGGCGCCTGCCCTGAGTTGGCACGGCCGGGAGCTGCGGGGTTGGGGCCGGGGCTGCGCTGCGCTTCCCTGCCGCCCACCGCGCTTCTGTCCCTCGGCGGGACGGAGCTCGAAGCCGGCCTGAGCCCGTTCGCTGATCAAACCGCCCGCAGCGGTTATTTCCGGTGAATGCCGCGCGCAGCGCGTGTCATCATCCGCTACAACGGGTGAACCGGGAGAGGGCGCAGATGCGCCGCAGTCCAGCAGCCCGCGCACCTCCTGCCTTAATAAAGGTGGTCGCCTCTTGCGTTAATAAGGCTGCTCACCTCTTGCTGTCGCGATGCCGATCCGAAGCTTCTTAGGGCGACCGCTTTGTTCAGGACTGAAAGTTGTGAAAGGTGAAGCGGTGCGCGGCTCAGTGCGGCCTGCCAGGCTCAGGGCATTGCAGAGGAAATGCATTTATCCAGCCTCAGACAAACATCAGTCTTGTGCTTCAGATGATGCTTGCTTTCTTGGAATCCATGGCTGACCTTTCTCGCAGAGCCTTTTATTCATCGGTTACACAGATTGCTCTTTGTCTCAGACATGCCATACCATGGCAAAGCGTTCTGAAAAAGGCAACACGTTAAAAATTCAGCACTAAAAAGCATAATGAGAGCCTGGCAAGCATTGTGCAGCATAACAACTTGTTTCTAACAAGAATACTGTGCAGTATGAAAGACTTTCAGCATTTACTGCTACATTCCTCCTGCTGGCTCACCTGGAGGAAGCAAATGTGTGAGCACTGAGCATAAAGATACAGCATTTCCAAAGGACAGGGTTTCAGGGGTGGAAGCATCAGGCAGCACGAGCTCAGTGTGTTGTCTCATGACACAGAGTGCCACAGAGCCACTGTGCCAGCACTGGTTATCCGGCAAGTGGAACTCAGCTGCAGTCTCCAACTGAATTCTCATTCTTAGCAGCACGTGTTTTGTATAACTCACAACACACAGAAGCTCAGAGAGATGCTGTATCTCAGGAAGCAGCTCAAAGCAGTCCCTACTGACATCAAATAAAGAGAGATGATGCTATTTCTTATGGTGCTGAGAACTTAATTACCAGTGGTGTTAACTGTGTGTCTTGGCTAGGTCAAGGTCTGCAGTCTGCTTGCTTTAATGGAAAAAGACACATCTTACATTGAGACAGCAGTCATGCCTAGCAATGTTGCATATGGCTGTAAAGCATCAACTTTCTTCCATTTCCCTTGAATGCTCCAAAATAAGTGCTGCTGTTCAGGATGAAGAGAGAAAGCAAGCTATTATTATCTAACAAAATTGCAACATAAAACCAGATACACAGCGGTAATTATTCCTGAAATAAAGATAATAAACATAACGGGTGCTAGACTAATTGAAAACATGAGAAATGCAGTGTCTGAGATACTTGCCATTCAACTGCCAGCTCTGCAAGCAAATACAGGTGAGTGGACTTTCATTAAATGAGTGTGGCTATCTTAAAAAAATAATAATAATAAAAAGAATTGTATTAATGTAGAAATGCACAGTTATACATTGTACATTTATACACAAGGTTCTTGCAGGAGCTTTTCTTTCCATGTTCACAAATCATGCTATGGGAGGTAACAATGTGGCACCAGATATCCTTCCAGCACAGTGGGTTAGGTTACAGCCCATCAGATCACAGCGTACGTGGTGCCAGTGCAAGAAGGTATTTTCAGAGGAACAATTATTAATAGAACTCTGCAAAACATGTGGGACTCAATCTGCTGTGATGTCAGGGGAAGAAAGCAGACAGGATGAAACCTTTTTTGGCATCGGGAACCCTTCATTGATTTGGAATGTTTCATTAAGTGAAGGACTGACACAATGTTGCTCCATTAACATGTGAGAGTCCTGCTTGGCACAGACTAAAACGCCCAATGCCTTCCACTTTCTCATTATACTCAAAGAGTAATTTATTTAAAAAGTACAAAACAGAGCTTTGAAAGCAGGATCAAGAAATATATACATACATCAATGATGCATCAGAGTGGAGAATAGCCAGACTGCTGCTGCCTTGGTGGTCCGGCCAATGCATTTCTAATGGAAAAACAAAGGAATTAAAGTCAAATGCAGAACGTGTTTTTGCAACAACAACGATGAAAAGGCAGTTAGTGCTCTGTGGAGTTGTGGCCACAATATTGTGCATAACTGTATGCAGTTATTTGGACACTGAACTTCTGATATGGCAGTAATTTCTCTCCTTCAGAAAATCCATAGGAATTCCCTTTTCCTTACGGCAGCCTCTGGCAGTTATCACCTTTCAGATGTTGCCAACACTATGCAAACAGTGTTGTTAAACCTAAGTGCTTCTGTGATTGGCTTTATGCTAACAATTCAGTCATTTCTTCACACATTGCACTGAATTCATTCTGTTTTTATTACGTGTAGTTAAAGGCATGTAACTTAATCTATGAAGAAAGGAACAACTTTTTCCTGTCTGAAATAATATATTCCAAGGGAGGATCTTTCAGAGGAATGATGGAACAGAAGATATGTTCTACTTAAAGTCATTTTGGTGTTTGGTGTGGGTTTCCTTTCTTTTCTCTCCCACCCCTGGTATGGGATTTTATAGTTGAGTCATCTATACTGCAGCAGCATGTATTTTTCCTGAAAGAATCACGAAGATAATGTTCCAGTTGTGGGTAAAGTAGGTCAGACTTGCTCCCTCTGGAGCAAAAGAAAACCCAGTTGTGCGTCTGTCTTCTACTACTGCATTCAGACAAGTGGGCTGAGAGATCCATCTTATCCGCAGTGAGAAGAGACGGGCTGCTTTCCCTCTTTGCCAAGTGTGTGGACGAGAGAAGACTAAACACTGGCAAAGAGGTTTAGAACGGAATGGTGGTGGAGACTTTTCTTCTGCCAGGTACTCTCGTAGCAATCCCAGACCTCGAATGTTTGTTCTGAACTCCAGCAACGCATTCCTCAGGAAATATGCAGAGCAGTGCTGACTTGCAGTGTTTTTCTTGATGCAGCTATCGCTTCCAGCCATGCTGTGGCTGTGTGTGTTTTAGTGGTGAATAGTTTTCCTAACTTACTGAGTTAGTCGGGTGGAGAGGCAGCCTGACACTTGGCACTGCAGTCCTGGAGTGACTGCCAGAGGGGAAAATTCCAGTTAGAGTGGTGTATCACAGAACTTGTCTCACTGCCTTAGGCAAAAGGTTTACTAACATCAACAATGACAGCAGACTGCACGCCGTGTACCAGACCTATCTTGTGTTATTCTCAACCAGCAACTGAGAATTCCTGTAAAGAACTGATGTGTCACAGCCCTGCAGATCCCTGGGTCAGATTCCTTACACTTCATAGCTCTCCAGCATAGTGTTCTCAAACATAAGCCAATTCACATTAATAGAACACTTTCATGTGATCCAGGGAGAAAGGGGATCCATACACCGGCTAGGAGAGAAGGAGTGCAGAAGGTTATAAAAATCAGTGGTAAATTGAATGGTGTATTTTCATTTTTAGTCTAGAGGAAAACTGGTAAGTAATATTTTATTAGTTCTTTAAAGTTAAAAATGTCTAGACTCAAAGCAGTATGCTAATTATGCTTTAGACATTACTAAAAGGTGAAAGGAGTGTCTTATGAGTAAAAGAAACGTTTCTGCTTACCAGAAAAAACACAGTAGTTCCTTTGAGGTTCTATAGTTTCATGATCTCTCGTATAACTTGTTTTACAATCCACATAACCTATAATGTAGACGACAGGATGATGACTATTTAATAGTATCTTTCTAAGACCAACAGACTGATATTAGCATGCATGTCCTAAAACAGCTATTTTAAAAACATGCTGCAACATTACAGACTGTAATAGCTATTTGCAAATGCTGGAGTTTTTTTAATATGGCACTCTTCCACGGTTCCTTTTTTTTTTCAGAAATAGTTCTAAGGATTTGTTTCAGAAAGGATTGCTTGTTGATTTTACGTTGCCATGTAACGACAAGAATGTGTTTCATATGCAGAATTTCAGAGATAAAATTAGCTGGCTATTCTCTAGAAAGATTATGCAGATGTTTAACCATGTTCCTAAGTGAGAGCTGACCATCATCCACACCTACAGGTGGAAAATTACCTCTGGTGACCCAGACCTCCTTCTTATAGATCTTCAGGTATCTGAAGACACTTCTAGCCTTTCCTGCTAAGAGAACTAAGATTAAAATAGTACTTCATTAGTTAGAGACTAACAAGGATTTTATCATTGTGTTATTATACTGAAACATGTTGCTAACACGGAAGGCCAGAGGGACTTCAATTACTTCTGCATTTTTCTAATAAACAGGGTTTATATTGCCATTCTGTTTTGGTAGAAGGGCTGCTAGTTGGCCAGAGGGTTCAGATGGGCCCACGGACAGAAAAGCTAAGCCTCGTTGTCTTAGTTTCCTTTACCCTGCCTTCCACATCTGCATCTGAATCTGTATCTACATCTACATGCACGCATTTTTCCATCTTTGAAACAGAGATCTGTGACAACAGGTTTGGGCCCACAGCTCTTTGGACCAGTAGTCAGTTTGCACGTGCTCCCAGATCAGCTGGTTAGCATTTTTCATCAAGCAAACGTTTAGACAGTCCCAAAGCAGACTGTGGCAAGAAATTTAAGTCAACCTCATTCAGGAAAGAGGCCTTAGCTGGTCTATGTTATCTGATAGCTTGGTCATTTACCAGTAAAGCAAGTTGTCAGTGACTGGCTGAACTTGAATTGTCACCTAGGCACTGGTTTGTGGGACAGGTTAAGAGGACACCTGTCCAAAGGCAGCTTGTCAGCCTACAAAAAGAAAAGAAAAGAAAAAAAAGTGACACAACTGTCTCCAGGTCCAGCAGTGTACTTCACACTTACAGAATGTGCCTGCAGACCATTTCTCCCTTATAAAAAAATCAACTTATTTTGTAAATTGATGGTTAGTTTGTGTTGCATGATGTAGAGTGAGCAGAACAGGAATAGAAAGAGAAGCAATCGTTTGGAGATCTTACAGATGATGGGGATGGCAGAGGGAGCAAGAGACATCTCTGTGGAAGTTCAGACCGTAGAACAACCTCCAGATTGAGGTGGGCTCCCTGCATTCATTTCCAGCTTCCATTCATCTGGAGGGTAGGAAGGAAGATGGTATTTGTGAAGAATATCAACGATATTCCTTTTCTCACTTGAGGCTTTCTTTAAAATCCTCTTACACTTCTCATCTTCTGTGGCAGTATTAGGGAATGACTGCCCTGTAGTTCTGGGCAGCTTTTAATCAGTGTTGTGCTGCTTCTTCTCATGAGGAAGGTGAAAGCAAGCTTTCCTACTGACAGCTGACCATTCTCAGGAGAGGTGGGGAGGTGGAGTCACCTCAGAAAACTGTCAGATCAGCTTTTATGTTTTGTAATGCCAGTGGAATAAATATATAGAAGCCCCTCGACTCCAGAACTGAAGAGAGTGAACTTTTGTCCTGTGTCTCTGATGTAAGCTTAAACCCAACTAAAGACCTTAAATTCAATTGATTCTACATTCAACCGCCACAATTAATGACTGAAGAGTTGCACTGCTGACAGCCAGTGTCAGAGTAAAGACTTCACAGATTGTAGTTTTTCTTGACACGATCCTTTTTAACTATGGGCTTCTAAAGATCACAGGGTGAAATAAAAGTTTGACTTAATTTGTGTTGTTTTCCATGAGACACTCTTGCACATGGGATGCTGTGAAAATACGTCAGCCATCAAGACAGATACAGAATGCATAAGGCTCAGCAAGTCTGACACAATACTGCACTATACATTCTTGCCAAAATAAATTTGTCATAAAATGCTAGTTAGGACTTGACAGACTCATTTAGTTCTCTGGTTTCACAGTAAGCATATGATCCAGCTAGCACCCGTGGTGCTTGGGCAAACCAAGGCTCAGCCAGCTCTGAGTCCTTGCAAATGGATCAGGCTGTGTTTGTTTGCTTCATATTCAGAGCAGCGGTGTGCTGTGGGGAATTGTACAGAACTCCTAGCAGTAAAGTCTGTCTGCATGGGTGAAAGGTAAGAATGATTTAATTTATCTAAATGAAATCTGCTTTTCTGAATGTAAGTAATCAGAAAAGATTCTCTTGATTCATGCAGGCTGGGTGTATAGCATAAAAACTTTTTCTAGCTATCCAACCCAACCACTATGAGATAGATGTCATGCTAATAATTCTTTTGGCTGTGAGCAATTGCTGTATTTGCAACATAAGAGTTTTAGAAGGAAACAAAACCAGTATAAATGTGATTAAGAAAGCAAGATGATCTCATTAGTGATAATGAAGGAAAACAGGAATCTTTAGGAAGGAGGCAATGCAATAGCAGTGCGTGCAGAATAGATCTGACTGAAGTGCTCAAATTAGACCAAGTGGCAAGGATTTGCTAAGTAGATCTTCAGGAAAAATAGCTTAAGGACATTTTCTTCCATTCCCAAAATATGTTTCCTCTGTAAAACCTGGAAGAAAAAAAAAAAAAAAAAACAACAACTGGGGGGAGATTTACACCTTCTTAGCCCTATTTTCTGTGACTCTGTTGAGCTGTCAGTCAAGTAGCACCACCTCATGCTCTTAAGGTTCGATGTCAGCTTTTCTCTCACCCTCTCAAAGAGGCAGAGATATGTGTAGGTCTCCTGCAGCACAGTGATCTTTGATACTATCAAACTCTTGCATTATGAGCACCTGCTTGCAGCAGCCAGAAGCAGACTGCTGCAGAAAGAGAAGAAAAGTACAAAGCAGCAGCTCCCAAGTATCAAAATCCTAATTGTTAAAGCACAGCTTAATAGATCTGCAGTTCTAGACCTTGCACGCCTAGATTTTAATGAGCTCCATTTTGGTTTTGCTTGGTACAGATTATGAATTCTCTAACACTATGTGTGATGTATTATACATAGCTGTCTTTCACTTTTGTTAGTATTATCCTAGGATGGTGTGAGCTGTTGTCCTATTTTTCATCCTCATAGAAAAAGCTTTTGATTAGACTACCATGATTTGAGGGTTTTTTTGTATTTCTTTGTGTGTACTACGTATGCAGCACATTGAACTGAAACTACAGTAATTGCTACTAGCTGTTGGAGTAAGCTCCATGCCTACTTGTTGCATTGTCTGTTACTCACAGTTTCCATGCCACTTCCAACTGTAAACTGAAAATTACACTTAACCACTTTCTTTATGAGAAAAAGCTGCTTTTAGCCACAGATTTGGAGCGCTGCACACTTTTATGGAACCCATATGAAAATCTCTGCACGATGCAGTGAGATGGGGGACGTATAAATTCATGAGCTGTACCTCAAGTCTTTTTCAGTTTCTGTGATGGCTTTCTCATTCAGTGCTCTCATCAGAGGTGATGTGCATCAGGAGCACGGAGCATTGGCATATTTTTACTCAAGATGACATTCTTGCACTGTAATAAACTAGCCTTAACACTTCTTTGTTGTTATGCACATTATATTTAGGCCCAGCATTATTTCAGTGTTTCAAGAGTTTTGGAAACGGTGCTTAAGCCTTTTGCTTTAATGAATTCTACAGTCTCAAAATAACTTTCCATGGCAAGTTCTGTTCCTACGTAGCTGAAGGTTGAAGAGGTTTGGATCAATCTACACGCTCTTGCACTTATCAGAAATAATGCTATTCCTTCACCATACTTGGTGAATTCCAGTATATGTATGTTTGATCACACCAGAAAAGAATAATCACATCTGGATACAAGAAGAGATAATCTCAGTTCAGTTTATCCCAGTAGCTACAGAGGGTGCATATCCTCCAACCTTATATGACCTTTAAACTGGACAAACAGCTGTGAGCCTTATTTTGTGCTCACTGCATTAACTTAAAATACGGTTGCTATCCACTCTTTGGGTACAAGAAATGATCACGGTTTCATGCTAGGACTAGAGTTGTTATTTTTTCATTCAGTGGTATCTCCACGTGCTTTGTGATTCATTAAAAACAGCTGTTGTGAATGGGAGAATTATCATTTTCACTTTGGAGGCCACATCCAAATATGACTCCAGGCACTGGACTGAAGTGACAGAGCTGGTTACATGCATCGTTGTTGCAGTTGGAAGAAGGCTGGACCAATGTTACTTATTTCCATCCTCTTTATTACCTTTTTTAATTTTCCCAGGGCTGAAAGAACAGCTCAATGACAAATAGATAAATAGCAGATAAATAGAAACCAACTGTGGAATCAAGTTTCATCTGTTCATCTGTCAAGTTCCATCTGTCATAATGACCAAAACCAAAATAACTACAGCTGATGTTCGAAATGCATAATTAGATTTTGGTGTTAAAATCTTACTGAGATTAAATGGGGAATTGACATCTTGAACTAAACTGTTTCCAGACTCAGGAAGCCAATATTGCAGATGATTTCTGAAGATTTTCTTCCCAATTTTACATTCGGTATTACAATCTTTGCTTAAAAATGTAAAATGTAAATTCAGCACCTAGTTATACGTAACAACAGTTATTTTTTGAGCCTGGTCTCCAGGAAACCCCCCCAAATCAAAAGCAAGACTGAGGTAAAATCCTGTAAAGCCTGAGCGCTGAGTATTTGCTAATGATGGGGAGACACTAATGCAGAAAATACAGCTGTAAATGAAGAGCGGAATTCTGAAACTGGATATTGTTTGTATTATTGGAAAATGATAACACGAGTATAAATAGTGTAAGCCCAGCTGGACAAGGCAATATGTTATATGAGTTTAAATCTGTCGTTAGGAGAAGCTGATTAGGTTTATGTCTGTCAAAAGGATGAAGAGTTGTGCCATCTGTAACAACAGCGAGCGGCTTAGTTAACTTTATCTCCACCAACACCCCAGGATTGCTAGGGCAGCTTCCCACCATTAGATCATCTCTTAAAAAAGACACAACCACAGGAGCAAACATCAAGAGCTCCAGTTCAGAGTAAAAGCGTCTTTGGCACCCATCACTGTCACCAGATCATCATCATCATCACAGAGAATTTGGAGACTGTCTCTAACTGACCTCATTGTCTTGTTTTGCATGCCTGCTTAGTTGAGTCAACAGAGTCAAGGGGAAAAATGGGTATATAACTGACATTCACCTTAAGCATTCACTCATTACATTCATTTCAAAAACGTTATAAAGATGATGGAAGAGTTGTATTGCCAAGAGGGAAGCACTCGTTATTATGCTGTTATTATCTTTAGCATGTCAAATGGATTTCAGCTTTACTGCTTTATATGTTTATTTGTTTGTGATGTCTTTAATGATACCTCTGTGACACTGCTGTGCAGAAAAACATTCTTGGCTGGCACTTACAAATGAGCCTAAAGAAAGTATTTAGGTCCTGTAGCCTTGAAATGCAATGGGGTCTTTCTGTGCAAGGTTAAATCAATGTAGCATCATTGAGAAAAGTCCCTAAAGCAGTCCATGCACATTGTTTTGAGTGCTGAATACTAGCCCTGGTTTCAAGCCTAGTACAGGATTACACAACATATTGATGCCTTGATTACTCAACCCCTTTATGCCTCAGTTTCCCCTTTGGAAAGTGTTGTCATTGTCACCCTGCTTTATAAATCAGTAAAGGACTTCCATCACCAATCCTACCTACCCGCAAGCATTGTGCCTATGTAACCTAACAGTTTTCATAGAACAGAAGGTTGGTGTTACTCCACAAGTTTCATTACAAAGTAAATATTTTTTTTTTCAGTTGCCTTCAGCCTATTTGTAAACAATGACACATGGCTTTCCCAACACTATCTTGAGTGCAAGATTGTTTCAGAGGCCAATGACTCAGTTCCCAGCATTAGCCCTGCTGTGACCTGGTGCACTTGCTTGGACGAGAGTCTGAAACCAAGCCCAGGACGTGCTATTAACAAATTATCTTGACATACCAGTCTCCCAAGAGACTTGTTTTCATAGCTTGTTCTCATGACTGATAAACCACAGCACATCTTGAATGAGAATAATGTGGATTTTTGTCTCTGAGCTGCGTACCACCACTCCAGCTCTGTGCTTGGGCCCTGCAGCAGGACAACCATCTGTCAGTGCTTCCAAAAATGTGCCCTTCGCTCCAGAGGTGCCAACGCTCCTTCCAGAACTCACCCCAAGTCAGAGGAATGTTTCTCTGCCTCATCTTTGAGCTTTAGGAGCACGCATCCTTCCCTTTGAGTCAATGACTGTGCATTAGAGTGCAAAAACAAACGTGCGCTCTGCCAAGTTGGCTATGGACCTGGGTTATGCAGTCATGAGTGTCTCGTGATTAAATATAGGTGAGGTATTTGTCATCAATCATAATTGGCTGTTTACAAAAGGCAGGCAGTAATAACAAGGAAATCACATGCAGCCCTGTGTGATGATAGGCACAGACCAGCAGGTGAAATGTGAGGAAGCCTTGTTCACTGCCTTGTGGCATTGTGGCATTGGGAACCTACCTGAGAAGTCCTTGTCCTCATCTCCGTGCCCAGAACTGGCTGTGGACAGTTGGAGAGTCAATGCTACAGTGCAGGGCTGCATTTCCCCAACTCCAACAGCCTTCCCACTGCCTTCAGTTCTGTGCATGGAACCTGGTAAAAAACAAAAATGCTGCTGTAAGTGTGGTTTGGAGAGAGAAGTGCTCCAATATTTAGACTACATTTTTTGGACTCTCAAATTGTGCCAAATACTTTTAGTTAAGAGCTGAAATGAAAGGCTTATTTTCAGCATGAAAGAAATATTCTTGGGTAGAAGGTAAATAAAATTAATGATCATCTCCATGCTGCTTAGGGAGGGGTGCTATGCCTAATGACAGCTTCTCAGTGACACTTTATAAAACTGTCACTGCTGCCTTAACACTGCTTCACAGCCCTGAGCATGAATTAAACTTTTCAATACCTTGAATCCCATCAGAAACGTTTTGGATCACAATATCTTTTGCAGCTTTCACACCGTAACAAAATCCTTTCCCTCCCTCTCTGCAGCCTGACCGCTGCTTGTGCCCAGGCAGATCCCTGCTGCACTGAACCCATGGCGTGGGAATGCCCTGAAGTACTTCTAATTAGAAATAATTCTGCTTAAAAGTACTGCTGATCTGGACAGCCTGATGGGAAGCGATGGTGGAGTGCCATAGATCAGATTTTTTCCATGCCAGGTTCTTACACTGCTGGCAATTAGTTAGAAATAGGAAGAATAGTTTTGAACTTCCTTAATTTGTTTATAAAAAAATAAAATCATAGCAGGTGCTCAGAGTCCCCCTGTTCCTCCTCCTGCACTCTTGCACACCACGCACTGCCCGGCAGCCCAGGCTGCACTGCAGAGCTGGACCCACAGAGCCACCTTCTACCTGAGCATGCAGGCCAGTGAGTGAGTTCTGATTCTTTTTTGGGAGGTGAGCAGCAAAACACCGTTTCACAAGTCTCACGAAAGGCCAGCTCAGCTTTTTTTTGTTGTTGCCAAGCAGCAGCACGATTTTACAGTGGATCCAGCTGCTGATGTTGCTAAGCAGAGCCAAGTTGTGCACTTTTCAATCATTACGTGTTCACCAGCTGTCATGATCGGATCATGATTTCCCTCCCACATCTTGATGGTTGCACTTCTAGAATTGGGCAGGAAACAAGGGCTAAAGGGCGTCTGTCAGTCTCAGAAGTCTCTACAATTTTATTCTGATACGCAGAAAATACAAATTATTTTATAGCAGTGATACCAAGATCGGAGAAGAGTAAAATACTGAGCACTCCCCTTTTCTTTCCTCCTACCTGCAAGAACAGCTGGTGCATGACTTCATGCTCAGTGCTCCAGCAGTCTTTTATTGCTTGGTGTGTCACGTCTGTCATGTACAAATGAGAAACATTAAAATGTTCTGTGTTGTTTAGTAGCACTTCTGCCATCAAGCAAACTGAACTCATACTGAATTGTCCCATATAAATACTTCAGGTAGCATTTACTCTATGTATAAAACTGAGGTATCTGAGTAATGTGTGGTTGGTAATTATGCCAAATATTGTATGTAGTAGGATTAAATAGAATAATGCATGCCAAGCTATTTGAATCTTAATGAAGTGCTTAATTCATTAACCAGATACATACCTCACCTTTCAGAATGAGCTGTGCTTTCCCCTACTCAGAGTCCTCCAATCCTCCTGGGTTAGATCCTCTTTTGACCAAGAAAGATTTGGAGTTCCCTGCAGGAAGAAGTGTGGATGAGGGATCACAGGAAAGCAGCCCAGTGTGAGTACTTCTTCATCTTCATCTGTCGTGGAATCAAAAAGAATAAACTGAGACATTAGAGAATGAAAAATGCTTTCACAAGTCATGGTTTATGCAAACTGATTTGACTTCTCTTACCGGTACAGAGCAGATGAGCAGCATCTGCATAGGTTGGAACTACTAGCAGTGAGTAGAGGCTGCTTGGCATAGTTGGGACAGGGCCTGAGACACCAGAGTGGGTCAGAAAACCGATGAAGCTCTGTCAAAGGCCAAAATGTAATGTCAGTGTTGTCTGACAGAGCTGTTCTGGGCCCGGAGCTTGAAGCAGTTGCTGCTCATAGTGCGTCTGTCGCTCCCTCGTGACTCATTGCTGGCAGCAGAGCAGCTGTCTGCGTGGCTCTGCAAACTTATACAAGGTTCACCCATCAGAGAGAGGGCTGCTCCATTGCACACATGTTGATAAAAAAGACAAATATATAACCAGAAATCATGAGTGTCTACCAAAAGGTTGGTTTCCCCGACATGTTGCCAGACGGTTGTTTTGCAGGGCAGCTGCCTTGCTCTCACCTCGTGGCATTCTCTCGCCTTAGCTTTGGAAATGGAATAGCACCAAATATGAGCTCAGTTTCTGCATGAGGCAATAATCCAACTAGCAGAAGTGAGGATATATTGTCAGGCTTGTGCTTCCCTGAGCTCCCACAGGATCCTTGTTCTTAAATTCATGGCAGAGAGCCTAAACAAAAACATTTCATTATGTATTGTCTATAGGCAATGAATATCACCGTGGCTCTATTCTATTTTCTAAGGCAGCACGTACTAAAACCTTAATTTGATGAACTTCAATTTTCTGGGTCATGAAAAAGGATGGGGAGAACAGAACAAAGGTGATCTGACAGCTGCTTTCATGTATTTTAGTTCCAGAGCTTCACTATAGACTGTGACTTTTTCATTTTGAGCTCTCTGAGATGTAGCACAGATTTATGTGACACTTTGTCTTAGCCCCATGCCACTAAACCTCCCCACATGTATACCTTAGCATGAAACCTGAAAAAGCTCAGGAAATACAAATAACTTGTTTCTGACCTGCAGAATTCTGACCAGTAACTGTGGATTAAGGTGTTATCATGGTGCTGAGGGCTTCACTGACTTCATTAAGAAACACGAGCTTGTAAAGGCACGGCACTCTGGCAGCCGTTCATTCCAGCCCTTCACATACCTCATGCTCTCAGCCCAGATGTTTGCACACCAAGGCAGAGAATGACCACAGGAACACCAGACCCAGCACACAGATGCCACATGAAATTCCTGCCTCTTATTCATGTCAGGTAGGAACTGAGTGTGCTGGACTCAGTAATGCTGCTGTGCTGCTCTTCCAGGTACAGGAACCCAACAGTTTGCTATTCCTTTGCTGTGTGTACTATCAAATACCACTGGTGAGGGCAGAAACACGTTAATCCCTTGGAGTTACCACTGATGAAACACTGCTGCACTGCCTTCTCTTATCAGCTGTCTTTCTGAGAACCCCTCAATGAAGCTGTGCTTGGACAGACAATGCACATCAATAACAGCAATTAGCTTGTCCATGAACCAGTACTTCTTGCAACATCACATTTCAAAGGGTTTCTGTCACATCTCCTCCCTTCCGGACAATTGTATTGGAAATGATTTCAGCATAACTTGAAAAGGAGCACCTATTAACAGGTATTTCAAAGCATCACAGAATCATTTCAGTTGGAAGGGACATTTAAAAGCCACCTGGTCCAACCAATGCCCTGCAATGAGCAGGGATGCCCACAGCTCCATCAGATGCTCAGATCCCTATCCTCTGACCTTGGGTGTCTGCAGAGAAGGGGCATCACTGTCTTTTTGGGCAGCCTGTGCCATTGCCCCATGGCCATTATCATAAATGACTTCTTCCTTATATCCAATCTAAATCTCTCCTGTTCTAATTTGAAACCAATTTCTCTTGTCCTGTCAAGAAGAGCTTTCAACAGTAGTGAGATAAAATGAAGGGCAGCGTGAAATAGACAAACAAAATGCAGAGCAGATATTCCCCCCAGTACTAATTTTCCCTTAGCAACACATGCATAACTGCAGTGCAAGAAGCACCTCTCCTACCATAGACCAAGGGACACCAGCGGTGAAATATGCTTTGACCAAAGGCTGCTTTCTCCAGGCTGATATATTTGAAAACCATTAGCAGAGGATTTATGGAAGGCAGAGCCACAGCAACCCGGTGGAGCAGGGGGAGGCCGGGCGGAGGAGGAATAACTCGTTTGCTTTTTGCCTGGGGTGGAGGCAGGCTGGTTGCAGAGCAGGTTATGAAGGTGGGTCCCTGAAAGAAAGCCTACATTTGGGCCGAGGAGAGGCAGGAGGAAAACAAGGCGAAAACGCATGAAGTAAAGATGGGAGAAAGGGTTTGAAGACATGCTCTGAAAGCATCGCTGCACCCAGCACTGCCCGGTTGTGCCAGAACGTAAGTGCAAAGCTAAATGGTCTCCCTCTCATTTTCCTGGAAGCGGTTTTTCTGCTGTATAGATACAGAAGTCCCTGTAGGCTGATGTCCAAGTTGGTACCAGTGAGCCATTTTTGAGATACATGGTGCTAACAGAATTTTAATAATGACATGTAAATTGCAAAAGATAGAGCAGGAAGATGAGAAAGATTATCTTTCGGTGAACCCATGTTTATTTTATGAATGGATTTTTAGCATGTTTATAACGTTGATTTGAAATTCCATACATATGATAAAGCTCACGTATTTTACAATGAAAACAATGCTTGTGCATTGAGAAATGATTTTTAAAACAATGTATGTAAAAAGGATGGAAATAAGATTGTAATTTGAAGAAATATCTTTGTTACTGTGCAGTTCTCTCACTTATCATTCTCACATCTCATTGAGGGTCGGACTGGAAGATCCTGGAGGTCTTTTCCAACTGTAATGATTCTATGATTCTGTGATTAGTGGAGAATATATGCATTATTCCTTATTGATCACTTTTATCTTTATTATTGAGAAAATTTTAATGTGCAGTTATGTGGCTGTTGTGAAACTTCATACTCTAAGCAGAGAAAAGAGTAGATAAAAACAATGTGATACATTGGTGGAAATTTTCAACAGCTAAACTTCGAGCCACGTTTTTTGTAATTTTATATTCAGTGCCTGAACGTTTTAATAAAAAACAATAAATAAAGTATTTTTGCTTTCAAGTGAGTATGACAAATTCAACTTCTATTTGTTGTTGCTGCTATTAACAGTCAATATCGTAGCATTGGTGCAGAAGCCTTGAAACCATATTTTGCACTGGGGTGAATTTAAAATAAATAGAGCAACACTATATCATATGCTGCCTAATCCACTGAAGAACTTGACAAATGCTGAAAAACTGTAGAATTTGCATTTTGCATCAGTATATATGATCCTATTGCACACTGATGTACACATGAGGACTTGGAGAGCTGCGTTCTTTCCCCAGCTTCTGTTCTCGCTGTGAGTGCTCATAGGAGGAGTGCTGTGAGAGCTTTTGGTTTCCACACGATGTCTGTGGGAGCAGAAAAGGATCAGGGAAAAGAAAAGCTGGTGGGTCAGTGGGTGGAAATGCCAGTCTGTTCTCTCCTAGGGAAGCGTGTGGCTGCTGGGGGAAGCTTGTTATAGAGAAGTTGTTTCCCTCCTGTGCATTGTAACCTCAGTTAACTGCTCAGTGGATGAGAATGCTGTCATAACAACACACATTTAAAATATTATAATCTTAACCTGTTGTCCTGGAGCGTTTTGCTGAGCTGCACCTGAAAAGCTTTGCACATTCGCGCTCTGTGATGGAGCACTGTGTGCTTGGAGAACAGCGACTGGGAAAATATCGCCTATGGTCTTCCGTGTACTTCCAGGACTACTTTAAAACAGCAGAGGATTTGGCAGTAGTCATAGTAGATAAAAGCTGGGGCTGCTAATTAATCACTAAAAGTGCAATCCTGGTCCCAGGGATTTCAACAGGAGCAAGTTCAAGCACCGGTGTATCCCCTGCAGACACTCAAGTTTAAACAGAGCATAGCTTATAAGCACAGCGCTCAACTCCTCTCCCTCCAAGCCTCCTGTGAAGAAGAATAATCTTTCAAGTCTAAAAAAAGTGTGCTGCACTAATAAGTAATAACATTCCTTAAAAACTTATATGGTTTTCTTGGCGAACAATGTGCAATCTTTCTCTGTCAGCCTGGCTTTAATGGAGGTTTTCTTGACATGTGCCACGGACCAATCTCACGTTCTTTAGAAAAATAAAAATAAAAATTGAAGGGAATATTCACCTGATGATACAATTACAGCAAATTTAAATGCCTGAGCTCCAAAATGAAATGTCTACAGCAAGAAGTAAATGTCTGCAGCTCTGTTGTGCGCACTCTTTCTGAGCAGCCTTTAAAATGCAGCGAAAGCATGGAGCCTGGGGAGGCACTGCCTGCAGAGCTGCTGCTGACTGTTCTGGAAATTAGGTAATTAGAGTTGAACCAGTGTAAAACCAATAGTAATTAAAGCGAGCAGATCCTGTCAAGTGTAAAGAAAATGCGTTTTAGGTCATAAAATTGTGAGTAGAATATTACCTTGGTAAAGCATGGTAAGACTTCAGCAATAAGGATTAAAAAAAATACATTTTTTCTCTTTTAAAATTGAGGGCATGCGTGGGAAATCGTTTCTGTTACAGGAACAGCCAGGTATAATGTTGTGGTTCTAGGCAGAGTGAGCCTGCAGCTCAGTCCAGAGTCTCCAGGATAGAAAAGTGGTTTGAATACAGTTAACATAATAAAGTTTTCATATGGGCTGTCCATCCAAAGAAGGTTTGGCAAGGAAAATGCCTTTCTGCTCAAATGACATGGGATAATCCAGAAGCAGAGCAACAAAGCTGAGTTTCAGGGAGTGTCCGTCAGCATAAGCAGAGCCAGTGTGGGAAAGGCAGCAGGGAGAGATTGCAAAAGAGGTCTCGTCCCTAATCTGTGATTTAAAATCATTGTAAAACTGAAGGTCAGGAGGGGAAGCAGACAAGGTGACTGAGATGATGCTCCTCCAAAATGTATAGCTTTTAGCTTTATTTGTTTTGTTTGTTTAACAGAAGACTAAGAGCTTTTTCTTTTCTTCCAGTGGTCTCTTTAATTGCTCTGTGGTACTGGACGTCAGCATCAGAATGGGCAATGAGAACAGTAGTGCAGAAAACCAGGTGAGTGTGGCAGCATGATTGCCTTTCCTTCCCTACAGCCAGAGAGCAAACCTTGTAGAAATCTGTTTCACCAACCATTTGCCTCGTGCTTATCTCCTGCTCCCAGTTACACTCGTATTT